TCTGATGAAAAAAGCTAGTAATCGGGGAATAATAAATGTTTTCTTACTCTCCTGTAATTTTTTGAAAAATTGAGGTTCGTCGCCCCTTTGCGACGTCGACGACGAATTTGTACCCCAATAATTATTAAAAATAAAAAAGTTTCGATTCAGGAGGGCCCTACAAAAGTACATATTTTTTGTTTCGTACATTGAATGCAGTTTAAATTTTAAAATATTGTTATTCACATATCAGATTAAGTTTTTCTACCGTGACATTCTCTCGATTTGCGTTTAACAATTATTAAGTAAATTTCAACAGTTAGTACCTTCCATATTTTTCATTTTATATTGCACGCCTCACAACGCGCGACCGTGTGGGAGTGCTCTACCACGTATTAAATATAACACGCCGCGATGTGACGATTTCGCAATAAAAAATTGTTAGTATGTCTCAATTTAGACACTAAATCAATAAGAAGGGATGTTTATATTAAATTATATTTATTGAGCAAGTGGATGAGTTTGTATATTTGGGAATTTTATTTAGCAGGGATGGTAGATATGATAAGGATATAGAACGACGAGTGAACGCAGGAAATAGGGTGAACGGGGATCTACACGCTATTATGAGGAGTCGGAATGTGTCAAATAAGACACGTATTGCAATTCATAATGCTGTGTTAGTCCCTACTCTAATGTATGATAGTGAAAGTTGGCTCTGGCAGAAGAAGCATGAGAGTAGAATAAATTCTGTAGAAATGTGGTCCTTAAGGAGTATGCTAGGGCTGAATCTGAATGAAAGGGTGAGAAATAGTGTGATAAGAGAAAAGTGTGGTTTGCAAGATGACGTTGTGACCAGGATTAAAAAAGGAATGCATCGGTGGTTTGGTCACGTAGAAAGAATGAACGAGGAAAGAGTGACAAAGCAAATTTATGTTGCAGAAATGAACGGCAGGGTCGGGAAGGGACGCCCTAGACGAAGGTTTATCAACCAAATCGGCGATACATTAAAAATGGGCCAGATTAGGAGTACCCTTAACCGACGAGCGTGTATGCGTAGATATATGGACGTAAAGGAGGCGCGAGAGGTGTGTCAGGTTCGCGCCAAATGGAAGTCCGTAGTCTATGCCTACCCCTCTGGGTAACAGGCGTGAGTGTTTGTGTGTTATTCATTTCTTAAGTTGTATTTACAAAAAATGTAGTTAAAAAACTATTAGTACGGCTGTCAGTTAGTCTGTGCACTTGTTTGTCTCCACGTTTCAGAAAAATATACGCAACGAAATGAAATAAATCTTTCTGAATAAGTGTCCACTTATCCTCCGGATGATCCCTGTTGCCGATTGTTATCGGACTCATAGACGTTTAAAAGATATATATTTTTTTTTTCATAAAAATTAAACGAGATTTTGATGAAAAAGTAAAAACGCTCATGAGGCGTGCACTTTTGGATTTTCCAAACTATTCACCTTTTGCAAACATAATATACATAGAAAATGATTTACATATTACACAATACAAACACACGCGTCCTAACCTATCGATGTCCGATGTAATGTTTTAAATCAAAGTACCCAAACCACTGGAGCATGCGGTCGTCTATAGATATTTTTTTTAACTATTAGCCAGTGTCAGTCGGTTTGTTATCAAATGCGCTATCAGCATCCCTATGTAATTATAGATATATAAACACAATACATAAATCATGAATGTGTCTTCAATTTCAAAATCATTTATTAATTTTCACTTTTAGTAGATATTATGGTGACTTTTATTTTTTAATGTTATATGGTGATAAAATATGAGTGTCACTGTTGATATATATTTTCCCAAAAGGTAAGCTGTGAATGCAAAACTCGAGGCAAAACTCTACATTAAATTCAAGTCCACTACTGAACATAGGCCATCCCCATAGACTGCCTGATAGGGAGCGATTTTTCCATTTTGTCCATCTCCTGTTTAAGTTTCCCTCTGTCACCTTTTAATCTCTTACAACATCCACGAGACGGTATGGGGTAGTGGATATTCTAAAACCGCCACTGCACGGTGGCTACGTTAAATAATGTACAGTTATTAATATTTTCGTCAAAAGTTTGCAATAACAGTTAATTTCAAATTTTTCGAGATTCTTACTGACATGATTCAAATTTGATAAGGTTTCCGCGTTATCGTTTCGGCTTTCATTCCCAAAACCCCGCCCCCTTTTTTTTTTTTTTTTTGCGGATGGAAAATCATCAAATGACGCCTTTCGCTCTGGGTGGAGCGGAAGGGAGTGTCAGACTTTTACTGACTAAAAACCATCCGTGTTCCTTCAGTGCCCTTACGTTCCGGAGCCGCGGTATCTCTTTCGAACAGCCCGCAGCCCCGGCAGGCGTCGGCCCTTGCGGGCCCCTTCACGCTGCTGACAGCTCTTTGAGGCGCGCGTGGAACAAAACGCGCCGTCGACACGGCCTGTCGTCGTTAGACGGACGGACGGCGAGCTACCCATTGCTCGCCGTCCACAGGCCCGCGCCTACGGTGGCCGGGGGCCACGACGTAGCCCCCGACGCCCGGGGCGTCTCCCGCGGCGGCCGGGAAGGAAAGCTGCTGCTCTCTCCTTCTCCCGCTCCGCCACCTCCTTCGCTAGCATCACTGCTTCGCAGAAGGTGGTGACGGCATCCCATTCCGTCTCGCTCCGGACCATGGCTTCGACCAGGGCCGGACGCGAGAGGTCGCCGCCGCCTATCGCCGCTACGAGGACACGGCGGTGCTCCGCCCAGGCAGGGCACACCTCCACGGTGTGCTCCACCGTGTCCTCCGGTCGATCCTCGCAGTGGGAGCACCCGGGCGTTTCCTCCCGCCCGATTCGAAAACCCCGCCCCCTAAAATCAGCCCGGGGCTATCGTCCCCGGCCTCCTCTTGCTACGCCACTGCGTGCATATTGTTTATTAATTTTATTTATTTATTATTTATTGCATTCCTTAAAACAAAAGAATACAAATGGCGGACTTGATGCCTTGAGGCATTCTCTACCAGTCAATCCATGGAGTGGTGAGAGTTTGACGTAGGTGTGGCAATATAGAATAAAACAACCACTACACAAAGTGATAATTAACTACATAATACATACATTTTACTAATAAATAAAGTATACATATATGACGTATACATACATATATACAAATATATACATACAAATATACATATTTAAAAACATATATAAATAGTACATACAAATACCTATGAATATATGCGTCTGTTTAGCAATACATATTAAATGGATGAATCATGTAAAATGCGTTGTCTTCAATAGATGATTACAGACCAATTTTATAAAAGCGTACTTATTGGGTGGTTTTCTGATGTTGATTGTTAATTTAATTGAATCAAGATTCGAAGTACGGACGCAGGCCGACACTGCCGTTTCGAAACGCATCGTATTTATAATTGCAGTAAGATCGTCTGGTCACTGACCCCTTGTAGTAAACGTAACATACAACTTACGAATAATAAAAAAAATGGAAAGTATGTCGTTCGATGTGTACTTACACTGGAATCATTAATCGAAAACCACCCGTTTTTTCACTCAATCGTCTAAATGAGCATCATTGTTGTGTGCTGTCCGCGTCATCCTGCGAGTGTCTAAAAGGGGATTATGGGATGTGACAGCAAAGACCAGCGACAGGGAGAAGCGTCAAATGTGCGAGTCGCCTGGATCTACGATCGCCAATCGGGCTATTAAGTGGGGCGATTAATAATAATGTAGCAAGCCTTTCTTAAAAGCCAACGCGCACGATAACCATACGATACAATACTCTTTATTGTCCACCAAGAAAGAATTGAAGAAATAAATACTGAGGAAAAAACAAAAGGCGGTCTTATTGCTACATAGCAATCTCTTCCAAACAACCCAGAAGAATCAAATAAAAAAAAAGAATAACGGGTTGGGTGCACTAAAATAAGAAAAGGTACCAACTTATGCACTAAAAACAACAACATTCTTTAGGTAGATCAATGACCATAAATAAGAGGAGGAAGAGAGAGGAGTTAAAGAGACAAATAGTGTTCCTTAACCTGTTTCTGGAACACATTTAAGAATTGAGCACTTTTAATTGACTGGGGTAAGGAGTTCCAAAGTTTTACTCCAAGAACAGAAAATTATTTATTACAAAAAGTCGAGGAGTGCACAAGACATTGGAGGGAAAGGTTTTCTTTGGACCGTAAGGAAATATTATGACAGGCACTGAGCAATTTCAAACGTACTTTGACATAGGGAGGACTTGATATATTAAATAATACGCAATAGAGATCGAAGAACCGACAACCGATGGGGAAAAAAGGTTCTCGAGTGGCGGCCTCGTACCGGCGAACGAAGTGTAGTGCGTCCCCCCACTAGATGGAGTGAAGACCTGGTAATATATGCAGGAAGTCGATGGATGCAGGTGGCTCAGGACCGTGCTTTGTGGCATTCTTTGTGGGAGGCCTATGTTTAGCAGTGGACTTGTGAAGGGCTGTAATGATGAATAGAGAACAGACAGTGATAACTATAGCAACTAAAGCAAATAAAGTAATGATGTCCTCCAAACCGAATTTTTTGACCGGAAAACCCAATTTGATAATGGACCGACACGGGGAAAACGAACCCGATACCACAAGATTAGCTTACGACTACCAGGCCAATGAGACAATCAAATACTTCATTACTGACATAGCAAAAAGAGCGTCAATAAGTATTTCTACCAGCTACTATAATAATCTAATTTAAATCCTGTCATGAAGTCAGGAAAATTAATGATTTTTTATATTTATACGAATACTACACATTAGATGAAAGTAATTTTACGGATTACATCGCGTTTTATTTTAACTTTTTAACTCCCAATTCCCGGGCTAACTATAACTTCGAAGCGTTAAACATCGCCCCCGTGACCATGGGTTCTGTAAAGCACCCGAAACGTAGCGAATTAAAAAGTTAAAATTAAACGCGATTAAATCCGTAAAGTTAGTTTCATATCACGAAAAATGAATTATGATGATGTACTCACTTTCTCGGATCACTGGATGTTGCCATTTGGTGTTTAATCAAGGAGCGTATGACAGCTAAGAACCGAGTCCTGTCTGTGGGCAGTCGACAACTTCCGTAGAGGCCTGCGACTAGTGATGCCGGCAGCGTAGACGGCATGTGCTCCTCGCCGAGCATCAGGCACAGGGCTACCAGGTGTGGCGTGTCGCGAAGCCATCCTAGAAGTTCTCCCAAAGCTGTAGCTTCCTGTAACAAGCGAAGGAGCTGGAGGATCAGTATTCATATTTAAATGTCCGAGGTCTACCTATCACTGATCTTATTATATACTAGCTAGCCACTCGCCCCGTCTTCGTCTGAATGAGTTCTGTTGATGTGACGTTATTTAGAGTTAAGATAATCAAAGACCATTTATTTTATTAACCGATTCGTATTTTAGAAAAAACGTTTTACGGATAAAATATAGCCTTGATCCCTCCTTGCATTGTTTTCTTTTTTTTTCGTAAAAGTTTTATCACAATTGGTTTAGCGATTTCGAAAATTAGCTAAAGAGACAGACAGACAAAACTCTAAAAAATGGATATTTACGTCTTAATAATAACTAGTTATTTCAATATCACAGACAGACACTTCAATTTTACTTATATGTATGGGAGTGATACATTAGATACAGGTAGGTCTTATTGTTTCACAACTTATTGTCTCAATAATATTTACTTAAAGATGGATGTGTTTATTACATTTGATGAAAATATCTCTTCTACATAGTATAAAACAAAGTCACTTCCCGCTGTTTATGCGCTTAGATCTTTTAAACTACGCAATGGCTTTGACTGCTTTTTCATCAATAGGCAGAATGATTTATAAAAATTTGCATGTAATACATGCATTTTTTATAGGATAGGGTGACAAACGAGCATACAGTCCACCTGATGGTAAGTGGTCGCTGTGACCCATAGACATCTACATTTATCCTCGATTACGAATCAAAATGCAGATGCGTTGTCACCCGTGATGACTAAGATGGAATGCCTCGTTTCCAGTAAAAAGGGTCTCCGGTTCTCTACACTAACCATACGAAACACAGCAGTGTTAAGCTGCTATTTTACGCTGGTATTCTGTGAGAGCGTGGTCCTTCCCCAGTCGAGCCGACCCATTCGTGTTACACAATACAAATACAAAAAATAATTTTTAGGGAGTTCTATAAAAATAATATCTGATAATCGAAAATATTTATTGTTGCTAATATAAATTACTATAGTCTTTGCTATAGTTAAAAAATTACATAGTTTTATTTTCTTTATTTGCTTTGAACAAGTTACCATACGAGGGCGGCACTGATAATTTCGGGAATCAAGGAAGTGACACAACATTACTATTTAAAAATGTATTTATTGCTTTTCGAAGTATTCTCCGCGAAATTTGACACATTTTTCCATACGATGGAACCAATCATTGAACAGCCATTCAATTCGGAAGTTGGGGTCTCCAAAATGGCCGTTTTGTAGGCGTCCACAGCTTCTTCAGGTGATGAAAATCTCTGTCCACGCAATTTCTTCTTTATTTTAGGGAAAGTATAGAAATCATTAGGGCTTAGGTCGGGGCTGTACGGCGGATGGTCTAATAATTCTATGTTTTCTTGCTCTAAAAACTCTTTTGTTCTGTGTGCGGTCTGAGAACTCACATTGTCGTGATGGAGGATGATGCGGCGGTTGAAGCTCTCTTTACGGAGTTCAGAAACGACCTGTGGCAAACAAATGGCAGCATACCATTCTGCATTAACCGTTCTTTGCCCCTCAAGAGGAATAGTCGTAACATGGCCGGTTTTGGAGACAAACGTGGCCACCATATTTTTTGCAACACTCCGTGAACGAACAATTTTTGTTGGTTTTAACTCATTTTCGAACACCCAAACTCGTGACTGGTTTTTTGTTTCGGGTTCGTACGCGTATATCCAGGATTCGTCACCTGATACGACGTTGTATACAGCATTTGAGGATCCTGCGTGGAATCTTTCGAGAGTTCTGACGCACCAAGTAACGCGAGCCGCTTTTTGCTCTTTACAGAGCGAATGCGGTATCCATCGGGAAAACAAATTTTTTACACCTAATTGTTCATGCAAGATTATTTGTATTTGACTCATGCCAATGTCTAAAGTTGCCTGAATTTCGCGGTATGTCACATGTCGATCTTCCTCAATCAGCTTACGCACAGCATCAACGTTTTCTTGGGTAACTGCAGTTTTTGGACGACCTTGACGGGGATCATCACTGAACTTGACACGTCCACGTTGAAATTCAGCAAACCAGCGATAAATTGTGTTTTTGGATGGGGCTTCATCACCAAATGCAGAAATCATCCGGTCAACACACTGTTTTTGTATTAAACCACTTCGAAAGTCGTAATAAATCATCGCTCTTGAATTTTCTCGAGTCTATTCCATTTTATCAACGACTAAACAAGTTTGATAAAACCTTGTGGCAAGACCGAGATTCTTTTTTTAAATAAATAAATGGTATTCGATTTTAAAACCAAGGAGTTTTCAATTAAAAAGATTTTAATATGACAGGAACAGTGGAAATATTCTATTCCCGATACTTTTAGTGCAGCCCTCGTATTATTGCATATACTATTAATAATTATTATTTATTGTATTATATATTATATGTTATATTGTTGTTCGTAAACATAGTAAACCATATTTAGAATGTGCCAATTCTGTTCCTTAAAGAAATAAACACCTCTGCACATCCTAACTGACTGTGGACCCTTAATACACAAACGTAACACTCATCTGGGGAACTATGTACTTAGCCCAGAAGAAGTGAAATTGCTCACAGCTAAGCAATACCTTTGGTTCATTGAAGACACAGGGCTTAGCAGTGAACCATAGCCATAGCAACTATCACAATAGATGTTAGAGGTAAAAGTGATACTGGTCTTTCTAGACCTGCATAGCTGCTTGCACAAATCTATACAAATAAATAAAATTGAAGTGTCTGTTTGTAATGTTAAAATAACAGCGTCTCACTAAACGCATGTGAAAGTATATATTGTACTAATAACAAAAGAACAATTTTTAAAATTTTTAACTGTCCGTCAGTTTGTTTGTTCCGGCTAATCTCCAAAACGGAACTACAAAAGAGGGATACTGAATCAAGAGATAGGCAGTAGCATCACAGTAATTTAATAATAAAAACCTCCTTTAGCATACTTTTAAACTCTTTCAAACTTCTAATACAACTAAAGAAACATTAATAACAAGTTAATTTATAAAAAAGTACTTGGGCAACCATACCTTACTGAAGGTCAGAAAAAAATGTTTTCTCAGGCATTTTACTTATCTTGAAAATTCAAAAAGTAAACCATTATCCAGGTGCAACATTTCACCTGAATTATTAGAGCTGTTTCTGAGAAACAAGCTGCTTATATTACATATTTTTTTTAAATTACTAAAAATGTATTAAATAGGTTTGATTAAATATCAATAAAATAATGTTTTATTGATCTTTAAGTCATAGTTAGAAAGTATCCATAGCGCCATAAAAGTGTATGTAATCCACAAACAAAATATTTTATGAGTCAATAATAATTTATTTTTGTCCAGTGAGTCTATAATAAATTTGGTAGGGCCATGTATGCTAGAATACTAATGAACAAAAATACAAGTTTTTTTATTAGTACCGTTTATACTTTCATATGCATTTAGTAAAAAACTGTTATTTTGACATTACAAACAGACACTTCAGTTTTATTATTTGTATAGATATATATTATTATTAATTAACAAATACAAATAAATAAATACTAGCGTCTATTAAAATGAAGCATCATTTAAAATAATATTTATTTCATGGCAAGATAAGAAAAAGTGCGAGGGAGATGGATATTATTCCATCACCCTCACACTATAGAAAAGGGGGGTTGTGATGGAAAAATCTTACACTTTTTCTCGCTTAGCCCCCATCTGCCGAATTCATACCGTGTGATAAGGAACTTTGTTCCAAAAAACTTAAGAAACCTGACCACAGTACATTTCGATCTCACACACTCCAGCATGGTAAACCTAGCCATTAAAGCAATATTCCAATTATATTGCACAGGTAAGTCAAGATTGTTGCTTTTTAGCTCAATTCGATTTTTTGTCCCCCAAAAAACCATATATTCTAAATTTTAACTTAAAATTTTTTCCACTTCCACTTTAAATCCAATCTTACCAGTCTCAAACACAGGTGCAAAGTAGGCCTTTCGGTGTTTTACTGGATACATTTCAGAAGGTAAGTACAGGAATAGTATTACTTAATTCCTACCTCTATGCTCCATTATCAAACAAACAAGTGCACAACTGGTTCCCACTTATTAAATGTAGTCTTTGCTTAAATATAAGAAATCATTATGGTCCCCACTTATTTCTTAACTCACCACACATTAGAATCAAATGGTTTGCTTTGTACTCCGTAATTAAAAAGGAAAGAGTGGGATAGTTTGCCAGCATTTGTGTTGCCATTTGATTAAAATGTAGGTGTGTTTTTTTTGTAGATAGTACTCACTAAAAGAAAGCGTTTTGCAAAGTTTTAGGTTGCGGAAACTTATGGTTCATGCATTCATACAAATTGGCAAATAACACACAATTACAAAATAAATTTGACAAATAAATGATGTCAAACGTCAATCACTTCATGGTTGTGCGAGTACTCATGGAGACTAAAAATTATGACAAACCATGTATCATGTGACAAAAGAATCGATTTCTAAAATATCGATCGTAAATATAAAAACATTTTAATAAAAATCAAGAAAGATACCATAATAAATGATTTCTTATTGAAATTTGTTTTATTTTTACAGTACCTATTAGGACACATAACAAATAAAATAGGTTAGGTTCAACTTATGTCAAAGAACCGAATTGATTGACCCCAACTCCACCTGGTACAAGTCTGTCCTACCCCTAGAGTGTTTTTATAGAGCCGGAGGCACGTAGGGGAAGCAGACTTCGCCTGCTATAACAAATTGTAGGCATCAGACGAGCCGGAGCGGCTGAGGCTGGTCGCCAAAGGCGACCAACAAGCCGGAGCTGCGAAGGCGAGGAGAGATGCCTGCGATTTGTTACGCAAAGGCGTTGAGGCTGCTCTTCCCGCAGCGTCGGAGATGTTGCAGTCTCAAAATAGATACAGAAATCCCTCTTATCATATATAATCAGTCCCCCTATTTTTTTCTGATGAAAGGGATTTTTTTCTCATAAAATGGATTTATATTTACATTATAAATGCATACATGAAAAAAAATTTAGAAAATTTTAGAAATCGATTTTTTTTGTGCATCGATACATCAGCTCAGGAATTTAATCGATTTATAAAATCGATCTTTTTCGGAAAGAATCGACATCCCTACTGACGATGACAATGACAATACAAAATAGTATCAGTTTTATGGTAGGAATTGACATAAATATTGCATAACTAGTTGATTTTCAATATTTTTTTTCTCAACAAGTACGCGTTACCGCATGTTAAAATCCTTTGCATGTGTGCTTATAATAATGTAACCTTTCTGTAAAAAAATATGGGCATTTAAATCGATGGTCCATATTGGAATGTTTAACCTAGACTTTTGTCATGCTATTTATTCAGCTGCATCACTACTTACAATCAGGTGGGAGAGTAATCAAGCACTGGCACATAATATTAAAAATAATTAAAAATTAAAAATTTTGTACAGCCGACTTCAATATAAGTTATTAAGAATAACTCAAATAACTCAAAAATCATTGGTCTGACCTTGATCAAATTCATATGGGACCACACGAGAAGTATCAGCTTTCATATAAATAAAGAATCATTGAAATGGGTTTACCGAGTAAAAAGTTATGAGGTAACACACATAAAAAAAACATATGCATCGAATTGAGTACCATCTCCTTTTTGGAAGTCGGCAGAAAAGGGAACAATGTTTTTTTAAGGTATTCAAAACATTCATTCATACGAAAAGCTACATAAGTTTGAGATTATTTTAATTCTTCAAAAAGGCATTTTTATAAGCCCGGCGCCAGATATAGCAACAACATTTGAACATTTATTTGAAAGAATTTGCACACTTGCAAAAATAAAATACAATACAATAAAATATTTAAATACAAGATTATCTATTTCATTCATAAGCACTAGTCTGTCATCTTTATCCAAGGGCTTCATCTTTTCAGATAACAGCTGACCATACAAATAACATTAATTTAATTGTTTTTTACTGTCTTTATGCTTGGACCTATTTTTAAAATGTACACTTAACGTGTACGTTGAACGCTTTGACGTGCACTAAAAAACCGAAACAGCTTGGCAAAATGCATTTCTTTGTGCACTTATTCGAACATTGATTCAAAGTCCCGTGCTACACATAGCTTCAAACAAGTGTTCAAATGTTTAAAACTGTATCTGGCGCCGGCTTAAAGGTAAGCAAAACTATACATATAACATGTATTAAAAATATGTTTATTTTATTGTTTGAAATAGTATTTTCTTTACCTTATAAAGTGGGCGGATACAATAAGTTGAAGAGAGATCCTACTGTTGAGCATGTAAGCTGAATTGCCAAACATTTTTTTAACAAATTAGGTTTAAAAAAAATTGTCTTTTTACTAACGAAATATTATGACTTTTAAAATAGCTAAAGATACTGAATACAGAACTTATTGCAAACAACAAAAAAAATTACAAAACAAAAACACAAAAAAAGGATAATATACTTTTATCCTTTTTTAAAGGTTTTAATGCAAACTTATTACTAAACATTACACTAAAAATAATAAAGTTGACTATCAAAAATTACTAAGAAGTCATACTAAGTACTATTGTCAAAAAATTTAAAATGGAATATATAACATAATATAATTTCATAAATTACTTTATGTTGTGATATAATTAAAACCCAAAAGTACATAAAATTCATTACCTTCTAAGAATAAAAATCATGTCCAGATTTGTTTATTTTACAATGCAGTGTTTTAATTTTATATCTAATATCACATCACAATTTTAAATTGAAATGTGTAACAAAAAAAGTCTTACCTTATATCTTAGGACCTTATAGGCATCAATGAAGGTGGTACCCTCAAGGAGACTTGCTCTCTGACAAGCTGCAATAGACTCTGCTTCACATCTCGATGTAATAAGATTAGTTAAGTTCTGTCGCTGCATAGAACATATCCATGCTGCTTCCAGCAACTCCTGGACGCTTTTCTCCACTTCTTCATTGAGGTTTTGAAGCAGCTGTCGTTCAGAATTAATAAATATTTTCTCTCGACGTAGCTGATTAGCCAACTCCGCAATGTTCATACAGCCTTCAGTTGATGGCTGCATCATACTGGTTTATAATCACACAACTTAACAACAACACATTTCGTAAGTGATAAATATATAGAAATAATCACGTCATTTCAGGAAAATCCTTTAAAAATTACTTCATTACAAACGTCAATTTAGAGAAACAAAAACACTTGATTATCTGTCAAACGGCTATTTAATAATTATTTATTGCAACTTATTATACACTTTAATACCTTAACTAGTATACATTTCATATCGAGAAGCTAAAAATGCATATTACAAAAATGATATTATATGTTAAAACCGGTTGAAACAACATTTAGAAATATAATTGAAATCTAAGAATTATGTTTATGAAAATTGACACTAGGATTGGAAATAAAAGCGTTTAATAATGATCGATTCTTGAATTACTATAATCTATTAACTACCCACTAATTTAAATATTAATCGATTTATTTTAATCGGCTAGAATGTTCGTGAATAGTTTGATTACATTAGTTATATTATTAAGCCATAAAAGTTTTATTTTGTAAGTAAGGCATGTCTATTTATATAAACAATTAATGCTCCTATAGTGAAAGTGATAGAGCACATACTTTATACATATTTTACATATATTTCTGATTAAAACTCAAAATGACGGGACGAGCCTGGGCCTAACAACTAAACCTTTTTTAACGAAATCATCGATCTTTTTCACATAGTAGATTGATTATAGTTGTGACAAGAAGAGGTCGGCGGCTCGACCTCTCACAGAATACCTGCAAACTTCTTAGAACAACAACTTCACAAACTTGTAAACACTGTTTTTGGGTTACATTCAGTATTCAGTAAAATTCTTTTATGGAGTATTTTATTCGAAATTATTGTTATCGATGTATTAATATAGTAATAAAAATTTCATTTATTGCGCTGTTTTACATAAAAAATAATCATTGTCATCTATAAAATACAAACATATTTAAACAAGCATATCAATTTAAAAAATATCCAAATTATGAATTTGATTTTCAACATTACTATCATCTATTTTATGTATCTGAGCGTGACACTCAAGCGAATTCAGTGTTTTTTCCCTATCCCAAAAGTGCCCAACGTGCCCAAAGCAGTTTTCACTTTAAAAAAATGTCTAATTGCATATAAAATAAGCAATATCTAATATAATCGATTATTTTCTTAAAAACCGTAAATAATCAATTTAGTACAATCGACTTATTATTCTTTATGTCACATCCCTAAGGAACAGAAAAATCATAGACTATTATTTTTGATGACAATTTTTTAAATATTTTCTTATTAAGAGATTTGGCTTGGATGCTTGTATTTTAAGCCCTCTTCATCAAAGACTAATATGATGTTAACGCATGCATTACGCTAGGTCTTCATTTATTTAAGTATAAAGTGATAATAATCCTTTATAGTACACAGCCTCACGATATGTTGATGAGTCACATTGCTTAGTTTTTGGGAGATTTTGCTGGCTCAAGCAGACAGTTGGCGATAGTATCACAAGGCGCTTAAGCAGACAGACTCCTTATCTTGAGATTCACATCACCATCGGAGCACTTATTTCACCTTTTCCACTAATAGTTCACACGTGCAGATATTTAATACACAAAATCGCACCACTTTTACATATCAGAACCCACTTCAAATCATTATTTAAAAAAAAATACAGGAGCAGCAATCCGCCACCGGTCAAGTTCCCACTAAAACTTTTTTTAATAAATTAATATTTTACGTAAAAACGCAAACAAACAAAACGAGTGTAGCAGTGCGTAGTCCGTAGCTGTCTACGGCAATCTCGTCCGAGGGTATTTATTTAATTTAGATTTTTTAGTTTCTTGACATCAATATTACTATGATATATGTTATTTAACGGCAATAGTCAGTAGTTCTCGTTGGAGAGTAGATAGTAATTCCTTAGTCAATAATAGAGTGTAATAATTATCCTTCACTGGTGTAGTAAGCAGAAAGTCACAGAACACATTGTACATACAAGAAAGCCGAAAGTTGTTAAAAATACTTTGTTTATAGTGTAAACTAAAGTAAAGAATGTGTCTTATCGGCAATGAGCTACTCTACTATGTGGTTATCGATTCTTCGAGCTAAATGGCAGGAAGTCCATTTTCATTCCATACTAATTATATTAAGAAGTAGATCAGATTTCGTGGTTACTTTGATTCTATTGTGGATTTCTTCATTAAAGTATTCCATCACGCAGATAAACTCTAAGTATAGTCCTCTCCATAGCTCGTTAATTGACTCTGTAGTCTAAGTGTTTTTTTTTTTATGGAAGCTTAAATTTTAATACAAATCGCAGACTATTAAGATGCTTATGCATATACATATATATACAGGTGTCCCAGTAATAGTGGATAATCTGGTCCGTACGTGTTCGGGCGAGCAGGAAGTGGCCTCAGTTCCTAAAAAAAATTCTATCCCGAACGGTTCGCGGTCTACGCCATGTTTTATAAAATTCCGAAAATTCGTACTTCTGCTCACATTTGTGGTCATCACGTCCGCAGTTTAATGCCTAGATCGGATTTGTTCCTTTTAATGTGTTCCCTAATAATGATGTTTCTAAATTATGCTTAAAAGTTTTCAACTACTATGGGTAGTATTATACAAGACTGCACTAAACATAAGTATAATTTTTTTACTTTATTTAACTGCAAAGTTTTAAAAAGAAGTGACATATATCTTTTTCCAATACATTGCATTAGTAAAAATAGTATGAGCCAATGCAAATGTTGCTGCAATCTGATGCTATTTTACGACGGCCACATGTATTCGAAATTCCGTTTCAGAATATCGATTCGGGATTTCGAACGTAGCAAATCCATATAAAATCGCCTATACACCGGTACAGTAGTTTCCGCATGATTCAAAATTCGAAATTCCGCATGATTGCCTGTGCGTTCGAAATTCCGAACGGAAAAAAGCCGTCCGAACGCAAGTCTTCCATAGATTTTGTATGAGTCGCATCACACGTTCGAAAATTCCGTACGGAACATCCCCAGTGTACGTCGCATGACTTAACCGAGTAGGATGGATTATATATCTTTTTAAATGTAATCTTATATTCGTATCTCTTATCGTAACCTTTCATCTTATTTTGTTCAATAATTCGTCGAAATTGTTTATAGACATCCATACTTAAAAAAAATCTCTTGATAGGCTCGTAATTTGACCTTTTTTAAATATTATCTTAAAATTGAAATCTTAGGGTGTTAAGGGGATGCATTTGTGGCAGCACGACCGTAGCTGTTCACTGTTCGGTAATCGTCGGGAGCCCTTTGGCTGCGCTGGAGCAAATAGAAGTGTGTCGAGTGGCCATCACGGTACCTTCATTTTGGCAGGACGAGCCCGCGCTTTGGTTTGTACAGTTAGAAGGACAATTTGTGCTTTCAAATAATCGCAGACAATACAAAGTTTTACCATGTAATTGCTAATCTGGACTATAAATACATATCGGAGGTTAAAAACATTATAACTAAACCACCGGTTGAGAATAAATACGAAAAGTTACAAAAGGAGCTTATATCGAGGTTATAGGCTTCTCAAGAGTAAAGAGTTCGGAAGCTTGTGGCACACGAGGAATTAAGAGACCGCAAACCTTCGCAGTTTGGTTGGAACCGATGTCCCAGACGAATTTATCCAATCTTTATGGATGAATCGCCTACCAAATTCTATTCAAGCTATCATAGCTACGCAGACAGATGTGAACTTGGATAATGTAGCTTTATTGGCGGATGAGATCAACGAAGTTCCTCTCCAACCTCAAGTGCACAACATAGCCACACCGCCACATTACACCGCCACTTCAGCCACACTGTCAACTTTTTCCGAATTTGAGGAATTAAGGCGCCGCTTAGATGACTTATCTCGTCAGGTGGCCTCCCTGACAATGTCACGTTCTTGCTCTCTTTCCCGATCACGTGGTCATCATCCCAGTGGTCAACGCCGCCCACGAAGCCGCTCTGCTACTGGCACGTTCAACTAAGTGTTGTTTTTGTCTTGTCGTTCCCCTTGCTCGTTTTCACAGGGAAACGACAAGGGCAGTCCATAATGGCGACCGATGACTGCCGTTCACCAGGGCGCTTATTTGTGACAGACATTAAAACAAAAGTACAATACTTAGTGGACACTGGTTCAGACTTAAGTGTATTTCCGTCGTGTAAATTACGTAATAAGAGAATACATAATACAAACTATGAGCTTTTCGCAGCTAATGGCTCAGCAATCGCTACGTATGGTTGGGTTAATTTATCTTTAGATTTAGGCTTACGCCGCGCTTTTAGTTGAAGATTTGTGATAGCTAACGTCACAAAACCAATTATCGGCATAGACTTTCTTTCATTTTTTAATTTGCTCGTTAACGCTAGATACCACCGTTTAGTAGACAATACCACCTCTCTTATTGCTAAGGCTTATTCTGCTTCATCAATTTGCTTTGTGCCAAATTAAAGTGTGTACTGGTACTTCACGCTATCACAGCCTACTGTCACAGTACCCTGAAATCACGCAGCCGTCTGGAGATCCTGCCGTACGGGAAGTGAAGCATCACACCGTCCATTTCATCCACACTACGCCTGGCCCACCTGTCTTCTGCGTCCACGACGCATGGCACCGGATGGGCTCCGCATTGCCAAGCAGGAGTTCGAGGACATGGTAAGAACGGGTATTGCCCGGCGCTCCGACAGTGCACCGTGACACTTAGTATCAAAAAAGATAACACGTTTCGTCCACGTAGCGATTACCGTGCGCTCAATGCCCGGACAATCCCCGACCGATATCCGGTTCACCATATAGGTGATTTTACACGCAATCTTTTTGGCTACCGAGTGTTCAGTATAATCGACCTGGTGCGAGCGTATAGTGAAATTCCAATCGCATCAGAAGATGTATGCAAAACAGCAATCGCTACACCTTTCGGCTTGTTCAAGTTTCCTTTTATGGGGTACGGATTAAGGAACTCAGTGTAAACTTTTCAGCGATTCATGGACGAAATCCTTAGGGACATAGACTTT